AAATCTATGTGAAAAATAAAATGTCTAGACTCACCCCACCCCCAGATGCCTCAGCCGGTCCCAGGCTTGATCAGGCTCCCAGTTCCCTGGCCAGCACTGGCCACCAAGTCCTACCAGACTACAGATGTTGCCAGACCAGAGAGTTCCAGATCATATAGGTTCAACCTGTACTTTATTAGTTTTACTGCCCCTTGTTTAGTCCTCCAGTGTTAGATCATATGACATTGTTCAAGACCAAGCAGATTGTGACAGGATCCCCAGGATGCAACCTGGAACTGTGAAACTGCTTCAGAGGGTATTTCCATTGGCTTCAGCCATTAGGCCATGGTGCCCTAGGAGGTAGGGCTGTTGTGGTGGCTGGAGAGACCAGTCTACTTGGGGCACCCTAGTTCTACTTCAATTCCCTCACAATCTGAAGAGGACCTTCTCCACAACAATATGGAAAATATAGGTTGTTCTCTAGATTAGGGTTCAGATCTATTTCAATTAGTGCTCTGATAGTCCCTTCAGTTGTGTGAGTGCAACTCCCTTTGAAGCCAATGAGGGTTGTTTGTGCACATCTGATGGACTAGCTGGGTCCAAGTAGTGCTGCCTTCCACACTGAAGCAGCAAAATCATATCTCTTTTAGAGTGTTGCTTCCAGTACCCCAATACTACAATATGACTCCATCTTAATAGTTTTGTCTGTGCAGATCTGACTGGGCAGGATTTCCTTAGTCACTGTTCTGGCAAATATGATCAATGTTCAACCCTTATTCTTAGACCTATGTATGCAGCTCTTTATGCTTTTTTTGTGAGGCTATCATCATGTACTGCATACTGGTGTTCAGTCTAAGACACGTCTCTTAGCCATTTCTCTACGAGACACAACATAGACAAGAAATGCAGCAGAGCTTAATATTAATAAATTGCCTAGGAATATTGGAAATTTTTAACAGCACGGGAGACAAATACCTGTCAGGGATGGTCTAGAATGATGCTTAGTTCTGCTATGAGTTCAGGGGACTGGAGTTTATGACCTCTTGGGGCTCCTTCCAATCCTATTATTATATGATTATATGAAATGTATCCAAACCAAAGCTAGGGGGAAGGTAGATATGCTGGAGGGTACAGATAGGATCTAGAGTGACCTATACAAATTGGAGGATTTGGCCAAAAGAAATCTGATGAGATTCAATAAGGACAAGTGCACAGTCCTGCACTTGGGATGGGAAAATCCAAAGCACTGCTACAGGCTGGTGACTGAAAGACTAAGCAGCAGTTCAGCAGAAAAGGACCTGGGGAGTACAGTGGATGAGAGGCTAGATATGAGTCAACAGGGTGCCCTTGTAGCCAAGAAGGCTAATGACATATTGGGG